CTGATGCTTTTGTATATGGTTTCTTTTTAAAACTTCTGGTGCAATATATGGTAATACTCCACATATATCATTTTTGTCTGATGATGATGTTTGACTAGATGTGCATGATAATCCTAAGTCTGCAATAAATGAATACCATTCACTTTGAAGAATATTACCACTATGAAGATCATGATGAATAATTTCTTTTTCATGAATATCTTTTAAACCATTAATAATATAATAAAGAATTTTAATTTTTTTTTCCCATTTTAAATTTTTAAAATCTTTAGTTAAATAATTTTGAAGACTTCCATCTTCCATGTATCTCATTGCAAATATATATTCTTTTGTAATTGGATCTTGTGTTAATCCATAAATATGAATTATATCTTCTTTATCATGAGACTTCATATAATTTTTGAACTAAATAATAAATAAAATATTTAATTACAACAATAATAATTGATAATATCTAAAAAATCAGAAAATAAATAGAAAAATAAAATAGTTTACCTCATTAAGAAATTCACCAGAAATATTCTGTGAATTATGTAGTTTTTTTAATGCCACAGTCCTATCTTCACTAGTTCTGGTAAATTTTCCATTTTCATCATTTATACTTTTATAACCATTTAACCAAGTAGCTTTGGATATAGTTGCAAAACCACCTTCACCTATCTTTTAATATTTGTTAAATCATTATAAGGAATCCATTGAAGATGATAATCATTATTATAGCTTGTTGTTTTAAGTTGTATACTTTTAATCAACTCATCTAATGTTTCATTGCCACTAGTCCATCCTTCAGTTAATAACTTTGGATCACATGATTGACACCATGAATAATCAGTATTATATCTATTACAAGTTAGACATTCACCATACTCTTCCTCCCTTTCATCAGAATATTCATCATGTTGGAGACTTCCATCTTCCATGTAATGCATTACAGAGATATATCCTTTTGTAATTGGATCTTGTGTTAACCCATAAATATAAACTTTATCATGAAGCTTTGTGTAATTTTTAAACTAAAATAACAAATAAAATATTTAATTGCAATAATAATAATAATCAATAATATTTTAAAAATCTGAATAAAATAAAATATTTACCTCATTAAGAAATTCATCAGAAATATTCTGTGAATCATGTAGTTTTTTTAATGCCACAGGCATATCCTTGCTAGTCTTTTCATTATCATAATTTATACTTTTATAACCATTTAACCAAGTAGCTTTAGATAAAGTTGCAAATCCACTTTCACCAATCTTTTCAATATTTGTTAAATTATTATAAGGAATCCATTGAAGATGATTATTATAATGATAATATGTTGCTTTAAGTTGTGTACTTTTAATCAATTCATCTAATTTTTCATTGCCACTAGTCCATCCTTCAGTTAATAACTTTGGATTACATGATTGACACCATGCCCAATCAGTATTATATTTATTGCAGGTTGGACATTTCCCATATTCTTCATTTCTAATATATGGATCTTCATAATTTTGAAGACTTCTATCTTTCATGTATTTCATTACAAAGATATATTCTTTTGTAGCTGGATCTTGTGTTGATCCATAAATTTTATTTATAAATGATTTACCATGAAATGTAATATAATTTCTAAACTATATAAAAAAATATATTGGATTTCATAATAATATTTTAAAAATCTGAATAAAATAAAAAAATTTACCTCATTAAGAAATTCATCAGAAATATTCTGTGTATCATGTAGTTTTTTTAATGCCACAGGCATATTTTTGATAGTTCTTTCATTATCAACATTTGTACTTTTAAAACCATTTAACCAAGTAGCTTTGAATATAGTTGCAAACCCACATTCACCAATCTTTCCAATATTTGTTAAATCATTATAAGGAATCCATTGAAGATAATAATCATTATCATATCCTGTTGCCTCAAGTTGTGTACTTTTAATCAGCTCATCTAATGTTTCATTGCCACTAGTCCATCCTTCAGTTAATAACTTTGGGTTGCATGATTGACACCATGAATTATTAGTATTATATCTATTGCAGGTTGGGCATTCCCCATACCATTCATATCTTTCATCAAAATATTTATCATTTTCATCAGTAGAAGTATCATCATGATGTTTATTTTCATTCAAAGTGTTTTCATTATGATTTTGTATAATTTGTCAAAAAATTTTTTTTTAAAGAATTTTTTTCAGCCACAAATATGTATTACAAAATATATTAATCTAAATTTTAACCGAACCCTAAAGTCATAAAACTGTAATAAATATTGCAAGCATGAGATCTGAGTTATTGGAGTCACCAAATATGGCAAACTAAATTAAAATCACTATATAAAACTATACTACTTGATTAGGTTTCTATTTGAATAGAGTTCGTTTTACTCGCTATGAATTTGGGTATTCGAATTACATTGAAAATTTATTCGAATAAAATGAATAATGAATGATTCGATAATTCGATGATTCAAATAAAACGAATAACAGATAATTCAAATAAGACATATAAACAAATAAAATAAATAATTCAATCGATAGTTTAAATAAAACAAATAAACGAATAAAATGAATAGTTCGAATAAAACGAATAAATAAATAATTCGAATAAACGAAATAATTTGAATAGTTCAAATAAACGAATAAATGAATAGTTTGAAATAAAATGAACAATTCGAATATTTCGAATAATTTGATTAAACGAGTGAGTAAAACGAATAAACGAATGATAACAATTTGAATAAACGAATCATAGCAATTCAAATAAACGAGTGAAGATAATTCGAATAAATGAGTGATGATAATTCGAATAATAAACGAATGATAACAATTTGAATAAACAAATAACGATAATTCGAATGACGACAATTCGAATAACGAATGATAATATTAATATTACTTAGATTTATCTAAATTTTATTTGAACTACAACAATTCAGCATTGACACCCTAAAGTCATAAACCTGTAATAAATATTGCAAGCATGTGATCCGAGTTATTGGAGTCATCGAATATGGCAAACTAAATTAAAATCACTATATAAAACTATACTGCTTGATTAGGTTTCTATTCAAATAGAGTTCATTCAAATTATTTGTTTTACTCGCTATGAATTTGGATATTCGAATAAAATGAATAATGAATGATTCAATAATTCAATAATTCAAATAAAATGAATGAGCAGATAATTCAAATAACACAAATAAACAAATAAAATAAATAATTCAATCGATAGTTAAATGATAATTCGAATAATAAATGAATGACGACAATTCGAATAACGAATGGTAATAATTCGAATAATAAATGAATGACGACAATTCGAATCATAAGAAATAATTTTTAAAAACTAAAATTACGTGAAGTCCTGTTTTTTGAAAAATTTTGAACGAATTACAAAATTGTTATTTTTCGAAATTGTTTATATGGCGCAGCAATAGGAGGTCTTTAGACCGAGCAAACCATATAGTAATAATATTATTATTAATAAAATACTTTAACCAGCTCTAACACATAGATTTTATTTGTATTGTTTATCTCTATTGTCACTTGATTACAATCTGTAGATCTCACACTGGCTATCTTTAAATATGATTTCATACAATCATTATTGTTATTATTGTTAAGAAGCAAATAATTCACCGTGGACGTTTTCAAACGGAGGATAAAGCTACCTGACAACTTTTGGTCATTCTGAGCAGAGCAATATGAAAGATCATTCATTATGTAGCTAAAACGAAACACAATCTCCGATTAAGTCACCAAATATCAGTGTTTGAAATATTTGAACTTTTGAGCCGTTCCTTAATTGGTTAAATAACTTTGCCGATCATTCAAAGGTAATCAATTTGTTGTGAATACAAGAAAGGGTAGCATTTGCGTACCATTTTTTCAAATGACGTTATCAAAAGTTTATAATAAAATAGAGGGAAAAAAGTACTTTTTATAAAAATTTATCAATTCCGCCTATGGATGCACAACTAACTTAAAAGCCGATAGGAGGAATCATATGTGGCAATAAAAGATTACTATTTAAATAATTAGATCAAATGTTCTTTGAACTGGTTATTATTTACTGACGGTTCAAAAGTCGCTGCAAATAGTAAAAAGATTTCTTGATGTAATGAGATTTTTATTAATTAAGAAACTTTTCAACGGAATATATTATTATTCTATACTATAATATACATGGAAAAATTAAAAATAAATTAGGAGGCCAAGGCTTCTTTGATACGTCGATCGAAATCTTCTCGAGTATCTATAATAATAATAATTAATTTTTAATGAAATCAAAAAACAAAATAAAAAATCAAATGAAAAAAAGAAATTTTTTTTTTACACACCACAAACAAGAGAAACTCCTCGAGAGAAAACCAAAGGTAATGGGTAACAATTTGTTCCTTCTGCACATTGAGAAATTGCCCAAGTATTTACTACATTGCCATCATTGTCTAATGTTTCATGACATTTTGCAAAATTTCCATCAATACAAGCAACGTTGTCTGGTTCGCAAGGTGTATCTGTTGTGAATGTTTTGAATTTTTCGAATAATGCTTCAGCATCTACTCCATTTTTATGTTGAACTGATTCTGCATCAGCAAATAAGAGGAAAGTTGTGAAAACGAGTAAAGTAACTAGAAAAACTTTTGATGCGGAAAATTTCATTTTCGTGAGAGATGGATGATTTATTATTTTATTTGTAAAATTAAATTTTTTCTATTTATTTCACAAGAATGAGATAATTGATTTCTTTTGACGACAAACTTTTTACGATCTTTTTATAAGTTTTTTTTTAGATTATTAATTAATATAAACTTAAAAAATATCATGTCAACGAATAATTTGTTTTTATTTATAATAGCTATTGTTTGTTGTTTGTTACTTTAATTATCTATGAGTGGCATGAAAAAACAGTAGTAAATATTTAAAAAACGCTATCCCGCATACAATAATGATACTAATGTGGCAAAAAAAAACTACCGATATTCAATTATTACACTAATATGAAATTCAATCATTCATTTGTGCGTTGCGTCTGTTGACGTTTACGAAACTTTAACTGATAACATTGGTCTCTTAGCGTTGGTGTAAAATAGTGTACAATGTCGATATTTTGATTTGGTAAATTTTCTATATCATATTTATAAATCAACGAGCCAATGATTAATCTCATTTCCATCATTGCAAAACTGCAATATAATTGTTTAAAAGAAAGGTTAAAAATTTTTGGATTAGATTCACACAAATAAATTAAACGAAAAACAAATACTTACTTTTGTCCAATACAATTTCTCGCACCTAAGATAAAATTTTTTGTTAAAGATGCAGGGGTGTATTATATGTTATTATAGGATGGTACAAAGGGATGAAAAGTGAAGTGGTTTTTTAATTTTTGCACAAGAATCTAATTTACCTGCAGAAAATGGATAAAACGAGTCCTTTGGTAATTTGTCAATATCGAACCATCTTTCAGGAATAAAATTTTCCACATCTGCTCCCCAATATTCAGGATCATGATGCAGCGTATAATAATTTATCATTAAATTTGTCTTTTTTATTTTCGAAGAGAAAAGAGAAAATAAGATTTAGTAATATAACTTTGAAAAAAATATTAATTTTTTCAAAAAAATAATCAACATACATCCTTTGGTATTAAATATCCTTTAACAATAATATCTTCAGTTGGTGCCCTACCGATTCCTTTAAATGGTAATGATAATTAATACTTTACTATTAAAATTAAAATTAAAATTAAAATCATTTAATATTCTTACCTCCATCCTAAACATTAATAATAATTATCATTAATATAATTAATAACTTTCTTGTAAAAACAATTAATAATTGATTCATATAAAGGTAAACATATTACCAAAACTACAGGCCATAATCTCATGGTTTCATGAATAACAGCGTTCAGATACGGTAACCCTTTAAGTTGCTCATGTTTAAGTAACGCCCCATTCTCACCATCATAATATCCATCATCGATATCTTTACTTTTATTTGAAGCCTTGATTTCATTGTAAAGTTTGTTTAGTTTTTCAGGATGCCTTGCCAATAATATTATTGCCATTGAAGTCGTGAATGAAACTGTATCACTTCCTGCAATTCTATTTGTAAACACATAATAATAATATAATTATAATTAATACATACTAATGCATACATTTACATTTATAGTATAGTATATATATAAAACTCGTACAAAAATTCAAATATTTGATCAAATATTTCAAAATCCGTCATTTTATATTCGTTGTTTTCATCATTTGCCGCGTCAACAATAAATTGTAATATGTCTTTTTTTTGTTTTTCTTTCATTCTTTTTTTAATCAATGAATCTGAAAACTATGAAAAAAAAAGTTCGTTATTTATCAAGCGCGTGCTTTCTTGTATATATATATATCTGCATAGGAAATACCTCTTTTAAATAAGGATCCATTCTAAAAAATGGTTTTAATAATGGAAGCATTGATCTCTAATAAAATAATAAAATTTATTAATTGAACATTTTGATTATCGGTAAAAAGAAAATAATAATAAATTTACCAAAATTCTTCTACGTAATTCTAACCAAACTTTGCCTGGTAAAGGATGATTAACAGTTTTTATACCATCAAATTTACCACCAAACGACGTCTCTCCGATTATATCCTGTAAAATAAATAAATGTTACCAATATATGAATGGAGAATACATAAATACACATAGGTGTATTTGGATTGATTACTCACAATAGCACAACTTTGAACTAATCTAAGAATATTAAAAGTTGCCGCTGTATTTGCATTTGACCTGTCATCATTACTATCATCATCAAATTTCTCCTTGTTATCATAATTATCATTATTAATCAATTCATCAACTTTAATTATTAGATCTTTAATACAAGTTTCCATCAATGGTTCAAGTGATGACATGTACTTTATAGAAAATGCTGGTGATAAAGTTCTACGCTATAAATTTACAATTAAAGGTTAGTTGATTGGTTAGCGATTTGTAAATTAGCAAATATTTATATTTTTAAACTTACGCGTTGTTTGTGAAATTTCTTGTCACTTTCACCCATTATGATTATTAGCATATAGAGATTGATTAGTTTATCTTTTTTTATTTTATAAAGCATTATTAATATATATAATTTACATTGTAGAAAATAAAGTTTCGCTACTGGAATCCGCCCGAATTCTCAGATAGTTTCTGCTTTTTGGAAATTCCTGTATAATAAAATTAATCAATAATCGATCGAGTGATCAATTAATCCAAAAGATTTCGAGGAGAGAGAAAGAAATGCTACTTACACTTGTCACAACCATCTATTTACAAAATTTGGAAAAATCAATTAATGTAATATTAATATATATATATTACTCGCTAATAAAAGAGATATTTACTTACATCTTTAATTAAATCCTTATCTGCGATTAAGACAAGTTCTGGTCCAAGCCTAACTATTCTACCATATTTTGGAATTATTTTAAATTGTATGAATTCCCATCTTTGTTGTGTATTATTATTTGTCGTTTTAAAAAAAATTAATTGCTTTGATTTTTACACCATATCAAATTTAGAAATCTACATCATTCTATACCTATATCTATGTGCACACATACCTTTTACCGGTAAATTGTTGAAAAGATATAAATAATCTTGACAAGAAAAATAATTTTGGACCTGGAAGTTTACTTAATGGTCCAAAATATGCTATATATATAATCTAGGTAATTATTTTTTTAGAGAATTTTTATCAAAATTTTTCATTATCAAATCAATCTACAAATGCTAAAATGCAAACGCATACCTTATGGACTGCTTTAAATAAATAAATCAAAACAATAATTCCAATAACTTTCAAAATTTCTTTGACGACTTCCATGTTCATTTCTAAAAATTTAAAAAAAAATTTTCAAGAATGCAATGAAATAATAATTTATTTAGTAATACCAATTATGATCAAAATCTGCTAGTGCAAAAATAAGTAGATGATCGAGAAAACACTATATTATAACTAATTAATATATATATATAGTTAGCGCAAAAATTTTATTGGTTATAACTGATCAACAATGTGGAAATTGCCTTTATTGCGCTATCAGCTATTGTACGCCAAATTAAGCGCCAACGCTAACCTCGAAAGCTGATTGGTGGTATTTTCTGTTTAGGTAACAATTTACGGTGACTTATTAAAAATATCCTTTTTTGGATTTGGATTTAATTCGCTATTAACCAGAATTAGCACGTAATTTTAGAAAACGGGATTAATGTTTAGCCGGTTAATTTAATCACGCGAATTTTTTTTAATATCCGATAGCAATATTAATAGTTAATATATGAGTATCCAAATCCAATTAAAAAAATTTTTCTTTATTAGTTCTATTTTTTCTTTATAGTCCTTGTAGTAATAATAATAATAATAATAGTAGTAAGTTTTTTTCTGCTAGCAAATAATCATAGTAGGATTTCTATTCGAATAAGAATTATTTCGTTATGAATTTAAATATTCAAATTAGATTGAATGTTTATCCGAACAAAACAAATAATACGAATAAAATGAATAAAGATTTGTATTGTATTATGAATAATCTGAATACGAATTCGTATTACGAATAGAAACTCTAGTTATAAGTTCAACCCAAGCTCACACAAAAGAAAAGGCAGGGATTGATACTCGCCAGAGCAGCTGGAAACTCTAACGGCAACAACATTACCCATATTTATTTCATTATTACACAAATTTTGTTTGACAAAATGTTACCAAGGTTGTAAAACTATTACGTCAAATTCGCTATCATTAAGTCAAAAATGACATAAGTAAAATTGCTTTAAAGACTAATAAAATATAAAAGCTCACAAAAAACATATAAATACTGTATATATTTCAAGGTCTTTTCTTGAGTATCCTTTGGTTCATCAGCTACTCTCAAGTAGCCAATTTTTTCTTTTGCCGAATGCAAGTTCAGTTCTCACACTACCAAACTATTAATAACGAGATACATGATCGGGGTATCGATCAGTAATCCGGTACCAGTGTCAACTAAATTTAGTTTACGCAAAAGCATTTTATAATTATTATCAAATTACAGCGTAAATAATTTTTTATAATATCAATATTGATTGATTAACTTACTTTCAATAATAAACCCATCTTTGTCTTTATCCTTATCATTATTGTAGTGATCAACGAAAATTTCATAAAAGGATAACTTCTAGTCTTCGCTTGAAAAAGCATAACTTGGGGTCCTCGCAGAGGAAAATAATAGATAATTAATATTCTTATAGAATAAAACTCTCTGATAGAATTATTTTTATTAAATAAAATTAATCGTTAATCAAATAAAAATAAAAATAAAAATAAAACCGATATCTTTATTTTCTTTGTTGATAAAAGCAACAGGTGTGGTTAGTGCCTTGGTAAAAGGTAACAATTGTGTGGTTTTGATAAAAAGCCACGTTTATTTACTTTAGTGAGCAAGCAAGGTCAAGTTAATTAGTGGGTGTCAATGAAATATCGTCCAAAGGTTAATCGGTATTATTGTAATCGTAAATGTAAAGCCGTTAAACAAGCTACTTGAGTTGTTTTGCAAATAAACCAAAGCGCATTTGCAGTAAACGGTTGAAATAAAAAATCAATTACAAATGAATAAAAGGGAACTTTATAGTATTACCATCTTTATTTATTTACAATTTATCTGGTGCCATTAAGTGTGTTCACAGATTCGTCTAGGTACAAGAAAGAGGGAACCAAAGTAAATTCGTAAACTAATTAATTGACAAGTATCAAATTATTTGCAATTAACTGACAAGAGTAGCCCAGAAGTTAAGTCATAATTGTTAATTAACCTCGCAATATCATCATTTAACAAAAATCAAAAAAGGATTTAAAATAGATAGACAAAATATAAAATGCCCTTAAAAAAATGATAATAGTAAGAGGTGTTCATACACTTCTTTAAAATAATAAAAAGCCTAATGCAAAAATTTTAATAATCAGATGAACAAAATTTATTCATA